GAGATGAGGAAAAACAGTGAGTGCTGGATGGAGCAGTGAGTGACAACAACCCCGGCCACATTTAAGAATACTGTTTGGGGTGGCAATGCTAAACAGACCTATGGCTATGGTTTACTTTTGGTTCCAAAGCTACAATACCAAAAGGGTTTGGTGGACATGGGGCTATACATGCTTGGAGAGTGAGAGGTGAGGGAAGGGAGGAGTATTCAATTGGCTGTAGTCTGCGACCTCGCTGCTAGATGCCACTAAATCCTACACGTTGGTCCGTTAAATCAGCTAATGATGCTTAATTGTTACGTTACATTGTGTTATTTTTGGAACCTTTTGTTAAAAGCTCATTAGCACACACTAGAACCTGTTGTGTTGTTGTTAATCTGGGTCAGAAATGTGCAAAGGTGTACAGCTGAGTGACATTAAGCAGTTGGACAACTCCAAAACAAACTTGCAGAGATAATCCTTAATTTACCACATTGATTTATCAAGTACTTATGGCTAACTACAATTGCTTAATGTTTCTGAAGTCCAGTTCAGCCCTAAGATTTATTGAGATGAGTTGAAACTTGCAATGTGCTTGGCTGCAACGTTCTGAAACCTGCCAGTTTACCAATGCAACAGGATGGTGTATCGTCTGTATAGCAGCAACACTCTGTACTTCCTTTCTAACTTGATGCTTTCCAGGTGCAAGAAATAAGTGAAAGATCACTTTGTGGGTGTGACATGCTCTCATACAGCGCACTGCAGCAGCAGCAGCAGCGACCCTCTGTCAGACACAGACGCACTGTGAGAACGGAGACCGCATATGTGTCGACAGTTGCGGGAATGTAAATGAGACGGAGTGGGGTTACCATAAGCCGGTTCAAGTCGAGCTGACATGGGCCGGTTCATACTGATGCAACTTTTCTCTGCGACTTACTAAATACGGTTTCATCTCATCACAAATCGTGGGTCTGAACTGGGCTTTACATATCCAGCAGCAACAAAGAAACACGGGCATCAAGTAGGCCTAGTCCGTTGTCACGCCAGCTGCTGAATTCAGGCTCAGTGTTGACTCGCATTTTACCTTTTGTTCAGTCTGCGTACTCCTGGAGGAAAATAGAGCGGCAGTCTTGTTGGCTTTTTGAAAACCCTGTCATTAATCTTCCCATCTTTCCTCCCTTCAACAGATAAAGACAGACATGGTCCTGGTCATGTGCAAGAAGAAGTCAACAAAGAAATGGGAGTGCCTAACAACGCTGGAAAAGCAGTCTAAAGATAAAGAGTAGGTTCAAAGAAATAAGGAATGTTGATTTCAGTTCAAGTAATTTGCACAAAGCAGGGATTTTGAGTGACATAAGGCCAGCGCAGCGCTTTAAAGAATTCATTATTTTAAGGTATTGTGCAACATTTAATGAAGCTTTTACTTAGTGCCACTACCGATACTTATGTGTGGTCAGTAACTAAGGATACAAGTGGTGTTTAATGACCATTTCCAGTGCCATACAGGTCTGGCCCATTACCCCAGAGACATTGCAGTGCAGTACCATATCTGTAAGCAAGGTGCCGCTGTCTATAATGCAGCCTGGGTGAATGTCACAAGATGAGACTGAGAATCGTAGGTATTCTGTTAAACACATACTAACTGTTATCCAATTGTTCACTGACAGTAAACCCAGCGTGGATGAGAACGCAGACCCCAGCGATGGCCTGATGAGCATGCTGAAGAAGATTTACTCAGAGGGAGATGACGAGATGAAGAGAACCATCAACAAAGCCTGGTCAGAGTCCCAAGAGAAGAAGATTCGAGGAGAGGACATGATGGACTTCTGAACTGCACTCGCTGCGTGTCCACAGCAGGACCAAGTGAGAGCTGCCAGGGATGCACCTGACATGACTTGAATATTAAATATCATAGGGTGAAACTCCAATAGAAATCATATTTACACAAAATCTATCAAAGTCAGTGTACAGCTCATCAAAAAAAGTTTTGGGATTAATGTCTGAGCCCTGGAAGGCCTCATTTTGGCCCTGCTTTGAAAATCAAGCTAACGCTGTCCTGATAGTCACGGGACACAATGCAGAAACCTCTCAATGAAAATACCTGTAAAACATAAAGGCAGTGTCCAGCAGATGGCGACCTTACACAGCAGTCAGATTTAAAGGGGTAAATGACCACAATGCAGTTGTTTTTCTTGATTAGTGTTAATAATTCATTGTTACAATTGGACCAGGGCACTTTAAACATGAGAAATGTTCTGTAAAGTCACATCTTAATATTGTTTCTGCAGGATAAGATGTTTCCAAGTGTACATTTGCCAAAATCACACTCATATTCCTTTAAACAAAGACAACCAGAGGACATTTTGTACGTCTTCATATCAGCCTTTTATTTATCATTCCATAAGTAGCTCAAATAACCGCTGCAGCGCCGTTACAGCTCATGCATCTGTCCGATGTAATAGATACATTACTGCATATGTCTGTGTTTGACATGTAATGTATTTGACCCATTCCTGTTGCATAGCGTAATGCCCTAAAACATTCTTTCTAATTCCTGAATGTGACTTTCATTGTCATAGCTTTGACAGTTTCCCACTATAATTCCTATTTACAGTAGCACTGTTCAAATCGCCTGTTTCCTTTCAGCATTTGTGAATATCTAAAACTGTATGTTTTATTATGATTATTTGATTTCGGGCTTTTGTCATTCATGTATTGTTGCCTGCCCTCAGGGTGTTCATGAAGGTCTTATGAATATAAATCTTGATTTGAGTCTGCTCTGCCTCTGTCTGTCTTCTAACAACTTGCTAGACTTATCTTGCCCCACTATGCATGCTGTCATCATATAGTGTCTTGAAGTTACATTATTGTGTAGTCATGATTTAGATATGCCCTCACAGAAAAGTTGGTATTTTAGTGACTTATGTAAACTTGATCTTAACGCCTTTGTTTAAAAGGATTCTGCACAGTAAGATGAGCATTGGTTCCCAACTGGTCCAGATTTCTCCTTAGTCATTAGAGGTCCCACACTTTAATACATTCAGCATCATACTTGTGTTTGGCCATGTCATTTAGCGAGCTTTCTGTCTGTGTCAAGTAGCTCTCTCTTTGTCACTCACTCTACAGCTGGAGATGGCACTTTAGAATAAAAGCTCTGTGCTGGAAATGTACTGTACTTGAAATTAAAGTGTGTATTTTAACAAACTTGACATGTTTGAGTCACTTGCGGTCCATCCAGAATGGGCCCATGACCCACTTTTGGACCAGTTGGGAACCACTGACTAAGAATATTGTTTAAGATGCAGTACTGCTTTTAATAGTTTATAAGCTGCCACAGCACAGTAAAGCTGCAATGTCTAATTGTTTAGAGCGAGTATCTCCATCTTTGTATCTGTCCAACCCACTAATTTATCTGTGCCTGTACTTGTAACAGGTGGAGTTCATGTCAGAAGTGGGTAGAGTTTAAATTGAAAGTGGGTTGGGCCTGATCACAAGTTGTTCTTTTAAGCCTGAAATTTATCTGGATTAATCAGAAGTTGTGATATTTATTACCCATGACAAAAGCATTCACAGAACACAGCATTGAAATCCACCACAGCAGAGTCTGACAATGTTTCTGTCCGTTGAGCTTCAGATCATTTTTTTATCACAAGAGTAGTAGATTAAACACCCAAATCAGGATATTCCTTTATCACAAGTACAGATAATGACACATTTTACTTGTATGATACTCATAAGTGGCACATTAGCTGTACTGGATACAAGTTTCATCAGAGTTTTCGGCTAAACTCTATTAATTGCCAACCAATTTGATAACTGATTAATCGGTCTGAGTAATTTCTGTAAGAAAAAAAGGTTAAAATTCTCTGACTCCAGCTTCTTAAACGTCAATATTTTCTGGTTTCTTTACTCCTCTGTGACAATAAAGTGAACATCTTTGGATTGTGCATAAATCAAGACATTTGGTGACATTTTCAGACAATTAATTGAGAAAATAATCGACAGTAAAAGTAAGTGTTAGTTGCAGCCTTACAACACAGCTTGGACCAGTTAATAAAGGGAATTTAAAAGCATTTATATAACCCAAGTTTTGCACAGCATGAGCTTTAAGCTGCACCTTTTGTCCACCAGGTGGCAGCTGTGATGAGGAGTTCACATCAGTCTCTTTGGGGATTTCACACAGACTGGGAAAATCTGACCAAAGACTTTTTGAAAACTGTAGCTGTAGTTTTATTTTGTAGGATTCTGAAGACTGGCAGAAATACAAACTAATTAATCTACCTGTAAATTGCGAAACTGACGATAAGACTCACTGCAATATTTTAACCATTTGTAGGTCCTATAATTTATGAGTTATGGAATTATTTTGCTTCTACAGGTGGGGATCACATTATATGACCTGTTGTAACATTTCCATGGTAGGATGGCTGCATGACTGTTTAGAATATGTTGTGCCATTTCTACATTGTTAAATTAACATATTAATTATTGTGTACACATCCTAAAGATGCATGAGTCAGTGTGGCACAATTCATTTATGTAGCAGAATTAAAATATTTCACGACAATAAAATTAAAAGCAAGAAAATGATTCACATTTTTAAACATAATGACCCTTAAATAACAAAAATCCAAACAGTTAAGAGCCCAGGTTCATTATTTACGGTAAAAACTGGCATTATAATAAATCTATTCCCCCCATCAGTTCCAGGTACCCATTAACTAAATTCTAGATTAAAGGTGACCAACATTGGAAACCCCCTGTGCTCTGCTTGGGTTACATCGTGTCATTGGCCTCACAGCAGCTCTGTGACATGAGCTCCATCAACGTGAGCGCAACCGATTGGTTTTTCATGAGCTGTTTTCATTCATATTTTTCCTCCATCCCAGATATACTGTTTTTTTTTTTTTTTTTTTGATTGAGATTTTGTCTGAGCAAATCGTCTGGACTTTCTCCACCAGTGCGCCACCTCCCCACGCCCCCTGCTCCGTGACGTCGCCGCTCGCCTATATAGGCTCAGAGCTCCGTGCCCGGATACGCCAGATGGATATAGTTGGACGCGGCGGACGCATCATTACGCACAAGACGAACCACTGAGAAAACAAGGGAAAAGGATATATATACATATATACACGAACTGATCGTTTGCATCACTGCGTTTAATGGATACCGGTTGTTTCACCGCGGCGCAGCGTATTTCGTGCCACGCCATGAATGCGGATTTATTTAAGCCCGCTCCGGAGCGTGGACCCCAACAGTCCTCTGCCCCGGTGAAAACCAGCAGGAATAAACCCGAACAAACCAAACCAGAGCTGGCCCAGGTGGTGACAGACTCCAAAACGGGAAGATCCTACAGTAAAGGGAAGCTTTTGGGAAAGGTACGGAGGTTTTTTAATATTACATGTGCTTGTCTCGCGTCACCACAGGGATGTTTCTGAGCGTCTATCTGAGGCGATGTTAAATTGAAATGAAGCTGTCTGTGATTAAAATGCATTATTAGACGTTTCCCAGGTGTGACACTAATGCGGGAATAAGGGAATGACCTCGTGGTGGTGGATGTGGCCAATCTCCCCCTGCTGTGCGCGTCATTGCTGAATGAATCAGGCGCAAGGTGTGCCCAGCTCCTGTGCGCACACATGATTGGCAGCACCTTAGAAAAGCCGATGAATTATTATCCGCAAGAGTCCTCGCGTTTTAACGACATCTCAGACAGCTGTTAACCCATTAATGTCTGTCTGATTATGCCATGACTCATCTCCTTACAACACCGCATGTAATGATTTTTGTCACCCTGTGTGTGATGTGTGATGGAGCGACTGTATCAACATGTTGCTCGTCATCGATACGACGCGTCGGGCAGCCAGCCAAGTCTCCTTTTTTTTTTCTTCCGCTGCCTGCCGCAGAGCTGGAAACGTCTCCGTCAATTTCACAGTTAATGAATGCAGCAGCTCCGTCTGCCTCAACCCTCGTGTCCTCGAGCCTATTGCACCCCGAGATCTGCATAAATAAACAGCAGTAAACATGATATTAGGAGGTGATTGTCGGGTTTTAGAGGCAAAGCAGAGCAAACAAAGCAACAAAAGATGCTTGGTAGTTGATTATCTTGAGTATAAAATGATGCATCTGATTGGATTTAATCCTGGTTTGCTTATTTCCTCTCGTTCTGTCCTCACTAGTATTTCAGAATTCGCTAAATCATTCATTTTGATTGCTGTGCAGCTATTGATCCCCACATCAAAGACTTGCCATTGAAGCAGATAATTTATGGCCATTGCAGGTTTTCAACCTGCTGCTATCTTAACTGATCACCCTGTTTGTCTCCCCTAAGGGTGGCTTTGCTCGATGCTACGAGATGACAGACCTCTCCACCAACAAAATGTATGCCGTGAAGGTGATTCCACAGAGCAGGGTGTCCAAACCACACCAAAGGGACAAGGTACATGATGGAGCTTGTTTATGTCTTGCAGACAGGCCCGTGCACAACCTGAATTCACTGTCTGAGCTGTGTTTGGATTGAAATGTGCACACAAACTGACAGATTGTCATATTTGAACAGATCACGAATGAGATCGAGCTCCACAAAACCCTGTCGCACAAGCATGTGGTGAAATTCTCTCATCATTTCGAAGACCAAGAAAACATCTACATATTCCTCGAGCTCTGCAGTAGGAAGGTGAGACTTCAGAAATCTCTAGAACAGTCTGCACAGCTTGCCATTGACACAACACAGACTACACACATTGTATTTATATATAAGTTAAAGCATATACAGCTAACAGAGTAATCATTATTGATGAAGAGTCTCAGGCACCCACATGAATTACAACAACATCTAACGTCCATGCCACTGCGGCTGTGTGTGTGATGTACGTGCAGCAGTGTTGTACAGTTCCACTGATGGATGCGAGGCTGACAGCTCACTCATTGCTCTGTCTCCGTAGTCCCTGGCACACATTTGGAAGGCGAGGCACACGCTCACAGAGCCTGAAGTCCGATATTACCTCAAACAGATCATATCCGGCCTCAAGTACCTCCACAGCAAAGGGATCCTGCACCGAGATCTCAAACTAGGTATGTGAGCAATGTGACTGAAACGTGGCGTACGCGCACAACAAGCATGCCAGGAATCTGCTGTGACTTTGGGCAGGCATTGGCTATCTGCGGAATGCTGACAGGACAAATGTTTTTGTCTCTTTCAGGCAACTTCTTTGTCAACGAGAACATGGAGCTGCGGCTGGGAGACTTCGGCCTCGCTGCTAAGCTGGAGACAGTCGAGCAGAGGAAAAAGTATGAATTTTAACTGCTTTTCTTTTAATGGAGGTAGCCACCAACACCCAGTTTGAAGAAAGACATATATTTGAAAATTAAAATAGTTTTTTGAAAGCAATTTATACCATTATTTAATTGTTAAAAATGTCAAAAACATACACAGTGCTGCGACTATACATAAACATAACATCAAAGAACCTGAGCATTACAGTCTTAGCCATTTTCTAGGCTTTCATAATGCACACTGACCTAAAGCCATTACGTCAGTTACTAAGCACCTTCCTCCTCCCACTACTTTCCCCCCAGGAAGTACCTAACTAAACCGGTTTCCAAGTGGCAGTTGAATGTAGCGCTTAGAGCCGAGTTTCAATACCAGTTTGACACCTTCCTGTGGAATACCAGAAGAATGAGTGCAGCAGGAAAAAATAATGCAGCCACCACTTCCTTGTGTGTACAGTGCTTCTGCAGAACAGAAAGTAATTCGAAAATCTCATCTGTGCTTGTTTTCTCAGAACAATCTGTGGGACTCCAAACTACTTGGCCCCTGAAGTGCTCAACAGACAGGGCCACGGCACTGAGTCTGACGTCTGGTCACTCGGATGTGTCATGTGAGTTATTTGCTTTGTTCAGTCATGTGTAAAATAACTTGTGTGTTTTGCAAGAACAGGTTTTGTTTTTTATCTCTGCTTCATCTCAGTGTGATGACAGTGAACCCAACCACTATCTGAATCATTATTTTTGAATCTTGAGATGACGAACTGTTGCCTTGCTTGATCCCATGCAGGTACACGCTGATGTGTGGCAACCCTCCTTTTGAGACTCTTGATCTAAAGGAGACCTACAAGTGTATAAAGGAAGTTCGGTACACCTTGCCATCCTCGCTTTCCCCTGCCGCACAGAAACTCATCTCAGGCATCCTGCAGAAAAACCCCAGCGACAGACTCGCACTGGATCAAATCCTCAACCACGAATTCTTCACCAAAGTATGTTAGTCATGCAAATTTCCATTAGCTAAGCTCACAATGCTTTGTTTTGTTTTTTGTTTTTTTTGGGGAGTGGGGACAATGGTGCTTGGAACTACAACAGGATATAGCATATCAGCGCTTGGCGTATCCTCACCATGTCGTGCCTCCTACATCCTCCTCACCCTCTCTGCCTTTTATTCCTCCTCTAGGGTTTCACCCCTGATAAGCTTCCACCCAGCAGCTGTGTGATGGTGCCAGAGCTCCACCCCCCTAGCCCTGCCAAGAAATTCTTCACTAAGATGGCAAAGAGCTTCTTTGGCAAGAAGAAGGCGAAAGGTAAGCAGCAGCAGCACAGCAGTAAAGTGACTAACACAATAGAAGAGTAGGTCATCCGTTAGTTACATATTTGTCCCTTCCTGAATGTAATCATGTGCACCTGTCATCTTGTTAATCTGGTTTGACTCAGGAGGACTGATGTTTAAAAAACATGTTTAAAGCTGAAGAAAAGGATTGAGCTCAGTTTCAGGTTTCTGTCAAGCATTTTCTGACGAAGTGTTTAATGGCTACACATATTTGTTGTGACTACAATGCGAGAAAAATTTGTTTTTTGCAGTGGAGAAGATTCCATGTGAGGAAAAAGATGACAAAGACATTTCCAAGCTGGTGTCTGGCATCGTTAAATGTTCCATCAGCAGGCAGATCAGCTGCAAGACAGTGGGACCCAATGAGGTGCGTATTTCAACTGTTTTTGTGCCCTATTTCTACGAGGGGGAAAAAATGTTGGCCTTGTTTACTTAAAACAAAAATAGAGCAGGCACAGGTACTAATATGGTAATCACGTCCCACAAGGAGCACGGGAGTACATATTTTCATGGCATCTGTTATGTCTGATAACTGCCTGGCATCTATTGTTTGAAGGAGGCGTAACACCATGTTCACTGAAACTGTAAAAGTATCTTTTTTAAACGGCACTGCAATTGAAATTGGGTGAATAAATGTCTTTAATTATGAGCGAGCGTTTTCCCTCAGAAAAAGACCAGCTTTGACGACCAGCTTAGACTGAATATGGGGCAGCCATGTTATGTGAACAATGAATTATTATGCTTTTAATTATACAGATATTTAAAAGAAATTTTCTTTCAAGGATTAAAAGTTTGTTTTTTTGGCTCTTTAGCTTTGTTTCATTGACATCACAGTGTGTTATATTCTGTATTGTCCCGGGTGTCCTTCAGGTTGTCGACAGAAAATTAAAATTCAGAGGGAAATTATTGTTAGAAATAGAAGTGCATTTGATTTATTGAAGCCATTTTTTCCCCCTTGCATCCGAGAAAGCTGTTAATGCATCCATCCCTCCGCTTTTCCCTTGACGACATTAATTTAATCCTGCTACCAACTATCTGTGGATGCATTCATTTAAAAAAGACTCAGACCCAGAGCCGAGACTAAATGCCACAACAGCAGGAAGCTCAGTTGGCCAATCCCCAATCAGACTGGTCTAGTTGCTATTTATAGAGTCCAATAGGAACTACATTGTTTGCTCTTTGGTGTGAATGTTTCTGTCAGCTTGATAATGAGCCTGTGCCGAGAAACCAGGTTGTAGTCAGGAAGCACACGCTGCGGCACAAAGCAGTCATCTTTGTTTCCGTATATGTGCAGAAAAACATGACCTGTGAACAAACAGATCACCACCAGATAATTTCTAAAACACCCATTGTTATGAATGACATTAGAACCACATGTCACACTTGGCTAATGCTTGCAAAGCACACGAGGAAACTGTGGTACTAAAAGTAGTTTCATAGTGCAGTGGCAGTACGATTAACACATTTAAAAGCAGTGAAGCAACAACACTTAAAGTTGCAGCAGAATATAGACAATGGCAACATATTTTTAAGACCGACAAGCTCTAAGCGAGCGTGCATGTATTAATGGAACACCTCCACTGAATGTGGTCTGTGGTCACCTTTTTTGACCTTTTTTCTGTCTTGCTCTTACTTTCACTTTTAGTTGTTTTCTTGTCACAAATCTTAAATAAAACCTTTTGTTGCTGCTCAGGTGCCCTCTCCCGTCAATCAGCTTGTCAGCTCCGTGCCTCTGGAACCGACTCCTGCTGAAGAGGAATCCAGGAAGTCAATCTCTCGCTCCTTCAAGGGCACCACGGCCAGCAGCAGCGAACGTAAGCCCCAATAGTTTTTTTGAGAGCATAGATATTGCATTGCACTTGAATTCTTTTCTCATTCTGATCCATATCTAACATATATAATTCTTGTTTTCTCTCCAGCATGCGAGGACATTCTCCTGACCCCCGCAGCTGTGTCTGAAGTGGCCGTCAAAGTTCTCAACAGCTGCCTGGCGACCATGCCTGCAGGTAGGAGAGCACTTTTGGCCTGGAGCATAATATGTGGCAAGTCAGAATGACGTGTGCGACCTCAAGACGGTCAATAGAAATGCTGAGTTGCATTTTTAAATCTTTGCATCTGCGTCTGGGCCACAGAGCACTGAAACATCAAGCCAAAAAAATAATGCGGCTTCCTCCAACATGAACCTTCTCTGACTTTATGTTGTATTAAATCACAAATGATGCAGAATCACTTAAGTTTAATCAAGCAGATCTTTTCCGTGCCTCAGCCATTTCTTCGCATCCTCTGAATATCTGCTTACTCATGTAGCCTAAAGCACCTTTAAGCTTATAGCTTTTTCTTTTTTTTTTTTTTTTATTAGGAAAATGCTGACTTAAAGACTTTGGAAATATAAAAATTGTGTCCCCCATTTACGCTGGACTAGGAATATTAATATGCTGTGAAATTGTTCCATGGTCCTCAACATTTCTATCTCTTATCTCTGCAGCCACTAGGAACCCACCCTGTTTGTCCAGGCCCCAGTCCTTCCTGTGGGTGACTAAATGGGTCGACTACTCAAACAAATACGGTTTTGGCTACCAGCTGTCGAACCAAAGCATCGGAGTGCTCTTCAATGACGGAACACGCCTCAGCCTTTGTGATCAACGCAAGTACGTACATGAAGAGCTGCAGTATTTACTCAAGGTGTAACTGAATTGGGCTGATATGTGTTCCAGCTGTACTTATCAAGTTCCAGCGGCTCATTTCCGACGATGCGAAGGAAAATGATCCTCAAAATCATTATGAGGATCATTTTTTGTTAATCACATTGGCAGAAATGGGCTTCCTTAAAGAGTAACACTTTAATTTATGGTTGTTTCCTTTTTCTTTCTTACTAAACAGGACAGTCCACTACTGCTTGCCCAACAACAAACACTTCACCTTCCCTGCCAACGCTCTACCTGAGCAGCTTCGCAGTCAGAAACAAATTGTAGAGCTCATGGCCAACTACATGGAGCAGAACCTTATGGAGGTATGTGCAAAGAGCTTAGCTTTTAGCTGCTTATTGAATTGTTTGTATGCACGAAGAAGAAAAGCCCTTTTAAATAACTTTAATACAACATGCTGTGAACTTAACTATGTTTTTCTGTCCTCTTCAGGGTGGAGATCTACATTGTGAAGATCAAGTATCGGGTTGTCCTCCTCTGCTGCTCCAGTGGGTGAAGACCGACCATGCTCTTGTCATGCTCTTCAACAATGGCACTCTACAGGTTCGAAAAAAGCTCCGATAATACCTTTTTATAAAACAAGTAGTGTAAAAGTTATAGGAAAAAAATGTACCCACATCTCTTTATCTTACATTCATGCTCTGTATTTAATCCCTTCCAGGTTAACTTCTACGCAGACCACACCAAGATCATCCTGTGCAAGTCATCTGATGACTCCTACCTGCTCACTTACATCAGCCGGGAGCGCGTCTCATACACTTACCTCCTCAGCATGCTGAATGAGATGGGCTGCACCTCCGAACTGAGGCACCGACTGCGATACGTGGTCCAGCTGCTCCAACACCACGCTGATGCCTGAGAACACAGCTCTGTGCCTCCCAGGCTGCCTGATTGGGCAGATGCCTTAGAGGCGACCTGACTGGTTACCACCTCTTCTTAGGCAGCCTGACTGGTTGATATAATTTCTCAAGGCAGCGCCGGGACAAGCAGACGGGATGGAAGGGCTGCTCTGTGGAGCTGGGCAAATATTCTTGTCTGAACTGGTGCTTAGGCAGCTGATTATCTGATTGATTGACCTTGATGAACATCAAGCAGTCAGGAAGTTGCCCGATGCAGCATCTGCCTCAAGGGTTTGTGCCTGTCCAGCTTATGCCTCAAAGGTATCCACCTGGAAGGTATTGATACCTGAAATAAGAGACTCCTACCTGGCCTGAAATGATGGATCCCTCACAGGCAGATGCCTAAATGAACACCCACACTCCCACTTACCTTCCCTCACTCACTCAGAACCACTGCTTCTTGGCTGGATCTTTTCAAAGCCACCAACCAACCCTGCAGCTTTTCAGCTTCCTCTGATAGCCGATACCCCAGGCATGGTTTCTCAAAGGTATCTAAACACTAAAATTGTCTTTTTCGCTTGCAACGGAACAAGGATAATCTTGCAGCTGGAATTCTTTTTAGGCTCCGTTCTCCAAAAAGTATTTTAGCAGCAAGGTCATCCATGTCGTTGACTTGCACTGGAACCGTGATCTTGCAGCAGAGATGCTTTGGGAAGAACTGTGGTTTGATTAGAGAGAGAGAGAGAGAGAGAGAGAGAGAGAGACCCTCACACCCTCGGTTGGTTTCTGGCCTCTGTGAACTATGGTGCACACAATTGTTGTTTTTTTTTTTTTTCTCGTTTTTAAAATAAGAAAAAAAATTGAGCCAGCTCTAGGATCACACTACGATCTTGACCTCACATGCACAAATAACATTCCTGGCCTTATTTGATGATGGTGATGCTAAGGTGTGAAGAAAGTTCTTCTGAGCCGACATCACTTTTGTCTTTTTTTTTGTTATCGTTAGAAACAAATTTCACTGATGTGGTACACAACATACTAAAGGGGCTATGGGAGCAACACGATTTTGCACTCTGTTTTTTTTTATTTTTTCCTTGATTTGTAAATTCATCTGGAGAACGAAAACCTTTTTACTACCACTTGTTATATTTTATTTGTTTTTAACTAGATACCAAAAGGCATTTTTTTTGTTGGTTTTTAAAATGATTGTTTTAAATTCACAATACCATAGGTGAATATGTGTGTGTGTGCCACACATGTGCTGGTAAACAAAACTGTTGGTTGAAAAATGAGGGCGGGGAGGGGTGATAAAAGTGCCTTTCTGAGGGATGACTGTATAGTGCAATAACAACCCTTTGTGAATGTCAAGCTGGATACAAACAAGATTCGAGAGATGGGTTTTACAGGTGGGATTTACTTTTGTACTTTGAGCAAAGTGTAAAAGTAAGTCTGATAGCACTACACTCTCACTACCTGGTATAAGCTTTTAGAACAACTGGTAACATAAGTATATATCCCAGTAATATCTACTATGGAAAAAAGAAAACATTGTACTCTGTTGTACTGTACTGTAATCCTTATCGGTTTACATTGCTTTCTCAACCCAGAGTTGTATCCTAAAAACTGTGACCTGGAATGCAAGTATTACGTACATGTGTTTTCAAAAAACCCAACATTGTGAAAGCCATCTGCCAATTCAGAAGAGTCTTTATTTTTTGGCACATAATGTCTCGTTTATTTATTTTTATTTATACATGTTTTTTTATTTATTGTTGTGTAAATGTTCCGGTCTTGAGACACAAGTAGATGTTCAATTCCGATCACCTTTTGTATGTAACATATTTGGGGGGGGGGGGGGGGGGGGACACAAAATAAAGTTTATTGAAAAGTTTATTTATTCTGTGCTTATTGTTGAAGACTGAAGATGAGGAATTCATTGATTCTGAAAATTGGCAACCAGCTCCCACCAGATTGATGTTTGCAGCATGCACAACAAATACTGTAACATGCTCCCTCTTGGTATATTTGGAGCACTATTTCTCTCCTTTAAAACAAACTCAGATCTACTGAAAGATATATATATTTTTTAACATCTTGGATAAAATAAGTGGTCAGTGACATAAGTGTGTCAGGATAAAAACCACATGGTTAAATATTAAATGCGCTCTTCATACTATTTGGTCAATTGTTTATTTATATATTGAATACCGAAAAAGCACATGGATTTGTCAGTGGAATATTACCTCACAATGGCTTACACCAGTAAATGGTAAATAGACTGAACTTGTATAGCACCTTTCTAGTCTTCCGAGCATTCGAAGTGCTTTTACACTACGTCACATTCACACATTCACACTCGTGTGGCTGAGGTTACCGTACATGGCGCCCACCTGCTACTCAGTGAGCGTTCACATACACTCACACAGGAACAGCCACCAGGAGCAATTTGGTGTTCGGTATCTTGCCCGAGGATACTTTGACATGCGGACTAGAAGAGCAGGCTCTTGAACCAGCCAATCTTCTGTGGAAGACCCACACTACCTCCAAGCCACAGCCAGTGACCAGTAACCAGTGTTACTAAACTTATGGCCCGTGGACCAAATCTAGCCTACAATAGGGTACTGGGTAGCTTGCAAACCATCTTCTAATTCAGAATAAAACTAAAGTGATTTGGACTGGGAACTGTTTTTCACTCTGAATATTTTTACATCCTAGAAATGCCTCTGCACACACCTGATCTGTGCAGGGCTGCTGATTTGCCTCTTGGCAAAGATGAGTGAGGACAGCAAATGTCAAAAGGTTTAAACCAGCAATTCATTTATTATCCATGCTGAGGAATATTATTTATGTTTGTTTATTACCTGGCTCTCGGCCTCCTGCAATTTTGCAAGAGCAGCTGCTGGTCACAGTAAGTTCAGTATCCCTGGCTTACACTCTTGCTAGACAGGACTGTCCTCTCAGCCCATTACTCTTTGTGAGTGTGTTTGAGCCTCTGGCAGTGACCATAAAGCTCTGCAGCCTTGTTTAAAAATTTAGAGATGGACACTATGCAGATGACATCTTTTTTTTGTAGATAGCTGGCATGATCTGCTCGTGGTTTTCAAAATCATACGGATTAAAACAAAGATTCTCACTCTTATGGACATCTTGGCAAGTAGTTTAACCCTTGAGGCAACTAGAAGTAACTTGAATTTTGTGTTGACTTTGGTGGCCCCTGTGGACAAACATGGTAGTGTTTCCATGAACACCACCACCACCTGTTGTAAATATCTTGATTTTGCTACAGCATGCATTTGTTTTGGAAGCAGGTGAAAGAAAGATGCAGCTTTTAATATTATTATTCTTTTTTAAACACAGCTGTTTGCAGGATGGGTAGCACTGTGGTGTAGTGGTTAGCACTGTCGCCCCACAGCAAGAGGATTCCTGGTTCAAACCTGGGTGTGGGAGCCCTTCTGTGCGGAGTTTGCATGTTCTTCCCATGTCAGCGTACTCCGGCTTCCTCACAGTCCGAAGACATGCAGACTGGGGAAAGGTGTTAGTGACTCTAAATTGTCCATAGGTGTGAATGGTTGTCTGTCTCTACATGTCAGCCCTGTGATAGTCTGGCGACCTGACCTGCGACCCAGAGTGAACCCTGCCTCTGGCCCAGTGTCAGCTGGGATAGGTTCCAGCCCCCCTGCGACCCTGAAGAGGATAAGCGGTTAGAAAATGGATGGATGGATGTTTGCAGGATGCATAGCTATGAATTAATGTATCTATTTGTGGCTATGTAAGATTAATAAGTGATACAATGGTGGCTTTATTTTGGCCACTGACTTAATTTCGTATATTGATGTTAGACCATGTCTATCAATCTATTTTAAAATACATATTCAAACCTGTGGAGAAGGAAGAGTGGCAATTCAAATCCTGCCATTCTCATCATCTGTTGAATGATCGAGGTTGACTTGTGTTTTTGTCCGTGCTCTAGTCAGTTCCTTTCTTTTTCTCTTTGCTGATTCTGCCCCAGCATCAGCTTTAACCACAAAATATAACATCTTACAGAAAGTTCTCTGATGAAAAATCTCCTCCTGCTTCCTTTAAGTGGCTAACATCATTGTGAAACTTTGCCTGGGAAAATATAAACATAGGCTCTACTGGTTTGCATGTCACAGAAAGTTTCCTCTGATTTCACGATGAATTGGGCCTAGTGAAAGGCATTAGGAATATATATGATGGTGGTGGGTCATATCATGGCATCAGTATTAAATTGAGACTGTTTCATAAGGAGTTAAAAACTTCCTGTAGCTGCTTTAACTACAATGAAAGATCTGCTCAACATTAGCAGGAAGCCAAGGACAAAAATCTGTGCAGTGACTGTGCCAACTCACAAAGACAGCCTTGGTATGCCTAATAAAGTCCAGTAATTGGGCCACAGTTGTTCAGTCTGGGGCTGACTGGCATGACTCTGAGTAAGGTTTCAGTGTGGTCTCCTGGGCCTGTTTCTCCTCTTCTTGTAAAGCCAAAAAGCCAGAAACATTTACATGGTGTATCACGATACTGCAGTGGGCATTGCTAGCCCCCCGCAGTTTAGGGAACACTGGCAAGACACCATTGTCAGAATACTGTTTGCTGTAATGGATTATAGTGTGATTTTTATATGGCAAAGTCAAAAATGAAAGAATTAAAATATATGCACACCCCAGTTTTGTGTCAGGTATATTGGGAAGAGCACATATACGTTACATTTTATATAATAAAGGTGTATTGTCAAACTGTTATAGCTGTAAAAATCTGGTTTGGCATTGAATGACAAGCATAACACTACACCACACTGCACTATTGTGCTCTACACAGATCCTCAGCTCTTCTTGGTGGCGCCTATCTTCAAGGATTAAGCCATTTCCTTGTCTGAAAATGTGAAAAAGAAAACAAAAACCCCCAAACATCATGTTTCATGTGACACAAGTGAGTCTTAAACCAGCTCTGCTGCTTGACTGTTCTTTACAAAGAGGAGCCTCTGAACATGACCTTTTTCTTGTTGCCCTGAAGCCCTCAGCAGCAGCATCACCCCCAAGTGAGTTCCTCATCAAAGCCTCTTCATTAACTAAACAGTGTGTACGCACTCTGAAGCATGTGAATTCCTCCTCACAGCTTTGATAAAGACATGAAAAAAGAAGAACTCTAAATAGCCTGTGCAACACAGTACAGTAGCTCATTGCAGTGCCAGTGCAGCCCAGCGTGACTCCATTTAGTAACCAGTGCTACAGCAACTCGACATGTCAAAAGCTTTCTTATTATTCTCACTAATATTTTATTCTTCAATATGGAAATATGTGGCTATTTCTGCCTTAATTTAGGTCGGAAGCTGGCACACAAGGTCACATTATTTTGAATGGTTTAACCGATGAAAACGTAAGATTGTAGGTTTTAGAGTAGAGATTTGAGAAACAGGTGACATGATGGTGCAGTGGTTAGCATTGTTGCCTCACAGCAAGAGGGTTCTTGGATCAAACCAAGGGTGGGGGGTTTGAATACCAGGGTGGGGGAGCGACGTCATCCACCAATCCGAAGATCCGTGGTTTGATCCCTGGCTCCTCCAGTCTGCATGTCGTTGAGCAAGATACTGAACCTGATACTGCTCCTGATGGCTGTTCCATTGGTGTGTGAGTGTGTTTTATGGTAGTCTCGGCCACCTGTGTATGTGTGTGTGAATGGGTGAATGTGATTCGTAGTGTAAAAAGCGCTTTGAGTGGTTGGATGACTAGAAAGGCACTATACAAATGCAGGTCTGTTCCCTTCTGTGTCAGCATGGGCTTTTTCTGGGTACTTAGGCTTCCTCCCATGGTCCAAAGACATAGGTGTGAATGTGAGTGTGAATGGTTGTCTGCGTGTTAACCCTTCAATATTCTGGTGACCTGAAAAGGGTGTACCCTGCCTCTCACCCAATGTCTGCTGGGATCGGCTCTAGTTCCCCAGCGACTGCTAACAGGATAAGCGTTTGCAAAAAATGAATGTATTATCAGTTGTTTAACAAATCATGGAAGCAGATTATTATTCCAAAAATATAAGGGACTGTTCACCCCAAATCTTGCCTTTAGTGCTATTTATCAGTCTAGATTGTTGCAGTGTTGGAGATATCAGCCATAGAGATGTCTGCCTTCTCTTGATTATAATGGAACTAGATGGCACTCTCCTTGTGGTGCTCAAAGTACACAAAAAAAATGCATTTGCAAAACTCAATAGTAATATCTCTTTCCAGAAATCATGACCCAGTTATGCAAGTTAATCCACAGACCTTGTTGTGAGCAGTTTCATGTGTCATCTAGTTCCATTATAATCAAGAGAAGGCAGACATCTCTTCAGTTGATATCTCCAACACTCTGCAACTCACACCAAAAAAGAATAGATTGGTAAATAAATTTCTGATTTGTCTTAATCTGCTCACAGTATCAGCTGCACCCAGTGTTCAGATAAGTCTCGCATCACTGTTTTAAACTTGTCAAGCTGGTTTTATTATCTGTGAAAGAAAGGGACACATTTTTGTCTGTTATCTTCTCGT